ATTTTGAGTACCGTTTAGATTTTATTCTTAAACCAAATTCTTAATGTTTACTGCCTTTCATGTCTCTTCTGATTTATGTTATGCTAATAACTTGGAACTTTCTTGGCATCTCCCTCTCTAAGAAACATTAAATATTTGTCTTCTCTTAGTCTTCTCTTTCAAATCCTGTAAAACTTAGAACTTGGTTTATGATAAGAAATTCTAGTCATTTAATCCCATCACAAAGAGATACTACCCTAAATCTACATGGCAAAATTAACCCTCTCTTTTAGACCACTAAGTCTTTTTACATATTAAAGAGCTAGAGATATAAGCTTTCTGCCTCTCCTACTCTTTGGTGCACCTAGATTTCATGTAATTGTGTTATGTGCAATACTTGTTTTTCATACATTTTTTGTGTTGATAATTTTTGAGCTGTGGCCACTTTAGTTTTTCCTCCTTTCTCGTTCTTTTATTGTACACAAGAATTATTGACTTATTTTTTGTCATGCCTAGTCAAAATTCACATGTACAAATATTATCTCACAAAACTTTCAAATGCTAACTTCTTATACAAAACCTCATCTAAGCTGGTTGTCTACAAATGCTAATTGCCTATACAAACAGTATCTAAGTCAGTTGTATAAAATCCTATTTGTTAAATACCATTTTTGGTTTTTGCTTTCAAGGTGTTTTAAGGTATTCATTTTGTTTGTCTGCTTCATAAATGTTTTGGTTTAAAAATAACAAAGACCATATTCTCCACAAAGAGTAATTACAAATTCTTAGTTACTAAAGTCTAACATATATAATTAGATATGTATATACAGTCAACATGAGTTTATGTTTCTTGACATTAATCTACTTGGTATCATATTGACTTATAAGTAAGTCAAAGTAAAACTGTTAAATTAAAATATTTTTTCAAGTCAAAATATTATCTTTTTAGACCTTATCTATATGAATGTATATATAAATATATGGTAAAATATTAATTCCTTTGTAAAATCTCAGAAAAAATGGTAAATTTGTTTGTGTATTAGTCACTTTTCTATTGCTGTGATAGAAACACTGACCAAATCAACTTAAAGAAGGAAGAGTTTATCTGAGCTTAACGGTTCAAAGGGGCAAGACTCCATCATGGCAGGGAGGTATGGCAGCAAAGGTGCCTGGAGGAGAGAGAAGCTAGGCACAGGAAACAAGAGAGTGACTAGAGATCCAGCAAGGCTTAAGAACTCTCTAAGCCCGCCCCTAGTGATGTGTTTCCTCCAGCACAGCCAGGCCTTCTAAGACATTCCCAAAACAGTGCCACCACTGGGGACAAAATGTCCGAATACTTGAAGCCTATGGGGGATATTTGTGGGGGCTCTCCAGGCCCGAGTGAACCCGGCCTTCAGACCGCTCCAAAGAAGCCACCCACATGGGAGATCAGGGAAAGAGGGATGTGCCAACCGCCTGTTCTGCCAGCCCTCCTCGTTGAGGACAATCAGACGCCATGGGGAATCTAGTCAAGCAGGAACTCGTTTATTGCAGGTGTCACAGAGCTTATAAAGGCAAAAACCGCAGTTTGGAAATCCCCCCTGGAAAGTCCCCTCCTGAATGTATCCAAAAGGCTTAAAGGTCAACCTGCCACATGGGCAGAGTCCCATAGACATCAACGATGATCACACATGATCACACATCCCCAGAGATGGGGAAGTGTCCTTTAGCCAATCGGGAGGTTTTCAAAACAAGCCTCCTCTCCTCGCCATCTTTTGAGGGTTGCTCGCAGGCTCCCACAGACATTCTCATTCATACCATCACAGTTTGGATGTAATTAAGAAAGATGATTGAAGGTCTGAGCAGGGTTATAGCACAGTTTTCCTTAAAGCTGGGGGTTGTGAATTTCAATTTGTTAATGTTTTGCTGTGTACCAAAAGTACCTAGTGTTTTATACTCCTTCAAAACCTAAAGCAAGGCTTTGGTAGACCACTCTCTGAATTACATGAAGTAAAAGAAATATTTTTAATGTTTTTGTGTTTTCTATAAGGTCTATCTGGGAACTTATAAAGCATATATACAAACCAGTACTATTAACTCATTACATTATGTGTGTAATTTGGATTCCATCGTCTTTTAATAAGATGCTGCTGCACAGCACTCTTCTGAGCCAAATAACTGCCATCTTTATGAGTTGAGCTATGATTACTTGTTAAAGATCATCACAATTGGGCTTATTGATGGTTGTATTCCTTCATTAAAGAAGGGATAAGCAGGGTCATTGAACCCTCACTTGAGTATCCAGATATTCTTCCTAGCCAGCTTTATGTAATTCTGCCCTAATTGTAAATGGTTTCCTAAATTTGGGAAGGACTATAGAATATAATCTTGGGAAGGCTAGGAAGAGAGGACTTGACCCATGAGTATAGAAAAGTCAATATCCATGCTCGGAAAAGACTTTCCAGTGCATCTACTCTCAGGTCACCCAGACACTTCAGTAACCCCTCATTCAACTCCATAGGTAAACTCAGTAAACTCATTGGTTCCCCAGAATGAACTTTAATGTAATCAAACATTGGTTTGACACTAGATAATTAGAAAGGGGTAAACATTGCTTAGTATCCCCAGGAAGAAAAATTCTCACAACAGATGGAAAGTTTATTTGTTAATGTTATTATGTCTCGTGGTATTAAAAAAGAAAATGGGAAGTGGAAAAAGATGTTAAAATCATATTCAAATGGACATATTTTATTAAGAAGGATTTACCTATGAAGATTATGATGTCTGGATATCTCCAGAATAGAAAGAAATATAAGAAAAGTCTATGCAAGTGATAAAGATCTGAGTAGGTTTGTTGCAATATATAAACAATGAGACAGACATAATATACACATAAGCTTAAAATTTCTAAGGTCATAGTCTAGTCAAGTTTATCTGAGAATGTCTGGATTTTTGCCAAAGCTTTATCTATTGACATGGTAATTAAAGTACCAGATTGGTATAACTAACATTCTTGGGTATTTAACAGTCATATTTTGAGGCCTATACTAATTTGGTCAGAAGGACTTAAGGGGACAATTTTTTGATCCTTGCCCTCCAAGGTCAACTAAGTCCTAGGAGATTATGGAGCATTTCTCAAAATATCCTGTAACTGTGGTGAGTCACCTGTCCACTAATTCAGGGAGGCCATTGAGACCCCACCAGATGGATTTGAACTAGTGTCCAGTCTGCAAAGAGGAGTGTCAACACAGAGGAAACGTTTCCTCAATATTTCCAAGTGAAGCCAGCCATAATCGAGCAGGAAATTCTGACTTGTCCTCACATAGATGGTACTGGTGAAAAGAAAGGCCTAAGGAGCCAAAGGCTCCTCCTAAGCTCATGTGACCCCTTAGGAACAGATCCTCAACCAAACCAGCCTTAAGAATAAAAACAAATTGGTTTATTCAGGACAACTGCATGATCTTAAACACCCAACAGGAAAGTATAACCAAAGAGTAGAATGATTGGTATATTTCTTTAAAAATCCAAAAGTTTGAACTTTCCAGACATTAGGTTTAAGTTCATATAAGACACTATTTAGACAATTTCTCACTTATGATTTTTCTGAATAATAAAATGCTGCTCAGGTGTAAGACCTCAAATCCTGGCCTACTAAAAGCAGTTGCCTACTTTCAGTCAAAAGGAAAATACACTATTCATATTTAAAAATTAAATAATGGTTAAATTTCTTCTCTCTCCCTGTCTTGAGGCAGAGGTGATTCTAGCCACTCCAAAAACTACCAAAGTGCCTAAAAAGCAAATCCCGAGTCTAGCCATGACAGTCAAAAGAAAACTCAGGAGAAACCCAGTAGATAGATGCTTTTGGAAGCACTCATCAAGAAACTCTGATTTGAAAATTCAACCTGTTCTGACTTCTCCTGGTTCCCTGTCTAGAATTTGTGCCTAACTACTCCTGCCTTCACTACTCCTTTCCCTCCTCAGCCCACTGATATCCATCCTCCTCATAGTGACTATTCCATGCCTTTTACTTTTTTCAGGGCCGAATCAATGAGATGACCCAACAGTCAGTGAACCAGATGCTCTTAACCAAATTCCCTCAGGTTCCCTACCACCACCTGCCCACCTAACCCCACAATCCAGACCAATGTTGGAGTCTTTTGAGACCACACCTTTTTGCCGACATCCCTGTCCAGAAGTAAGTAGCTAAAGAAAGACCACTGTTCCCCAGATCATCAACAAAAGGCTGGAATATTAGGTTCCTGACAGGCTCCTAAAATGGCCCAACATTTTAAGGCTGCAGGTATGAACTTAACTCCTGGAAAGTCCCTCTGCTTATTGTGAGACCAAACCAATCCTGAGCTAAACTGCCCAGCCTACTTCATGTCATGGAAAAAATTACCCAACTTTCTAACTGCTTATAAAAGCTGTCTGACTGCCCCTGCTTCCTGCTATCTCTGCTCCCCAAGATGCTGCCCAGTGGTCTGTTTGCTCTCAGATAAACTGCTACACACCCATAAAGTTGTCTGGTTGGTGATCCTCGACAATCAGTTGTCTTCCCCTATGGCTTCCCATCTTTATTTATTTATTTAAAATTTTTTTAATATTTTAAATATTTTAAAATTTTTAAATATTTTATTTTAAATTTGAATTAAATGAAAACTTTTTTGAGCCATGATCTCACTGTAGCCCAAGCAGCCCTGGAAATTGCTATACATACCACTCAATGCTGGAATCAACCTCACAAGATTGGCGTGCCTCTGCTGCCTGAGTGCTGGGATTAAAGACATGTACAACCATGCATGACTATTTTTTTTAACTTTTATTTTACATCTATAAATGTTTGCCTGCATGTATGTAAGCACAGTACATGTGTGCAGTATTCACTTATCCTCTACGAGAGTAGTAAGTTCTCTTAATTACTGAGCCACCTGTCCAGCCCCCACCATTTTTTTTCTTAAGAAAAAGTCTTTCACTGAACTTGGACATAACAAATTGGGAAATATGACTGGCAGCAAGCCCCAGGCATCTTTCTCCCTGTCCCCTTAAGGCCACAGTTTCAGGCTCACTCTGCAGCTCTGGGCTTTCCACATGACCCTAAGAATCTGATCTGAGGTCCTCATACCAGCAAGGTAGTCACCTGCCAAAATCTGATGGAATTCTGCAATGGTCTCCTTCAAGAGCACCAGCTTTCCCTTGCCCTGTGAAGATCTCAGCAACCTGGAATGGCTGAGATAGGAAGCACTGGATTTTCCTTCCCAGGGTTACAGTCAACTTATCTTCCTCAGAAAGTTCATCCATACCCAGGATGGCAATGATGTCCTGGAGGTATTTGTAGTCCTGCAGGAATTTTTGCACCCCTCGAACAACATCAGAATGTTCATCGCCAATTACCTTTGGATCCATGATTCTAGAAGTGAAGTACAGAGGATCCACAGCTGGATAAATGCCCAGCTCATCAACAGCATGGGGCAGTACAATAGTGGCATCCAAATGGGCAAAGGTACTTGCAGGGGCAGGATCAGTCAAGTCATCAGCAGGCACATAGACAGCCTGCACAGAGGTGATGGATCCCTTTTTGGTGGTGGTGATTCTTTCTTGTATTGTACCCATGTCAGTAGGCTGATAGCCTACAGCAGAAGGGATTCTTCCCAATAAGGCAGATACCTCTAAGCCAGCCTGGTTGAAGTAAAAGATGTTGTCAATGAATAGCAGTACATCTTGACCATCTTGATCTCTGAAGTTTTCAACAACAGTCAGTCCATTCATAACTACCCAAGCCCGAGTACCAGGTACTTCGTTCACCTGACCTTACACCAATGCTACCTTGGAGGAAGCATCCTTTAAGTTGATGACACCAGACTCAGTCATTTTATGGTATAAGTCATTACCCTCACTGGTCCTTTCACCAACACCAGAAAATACTGAGTAGCCACCATGGGCTTTGGCAACATTGTTGATTAACTTCATGATAAGTACAGTCTTGCCAACTCCAGCATCACCACAGTCCAATTTTGCCACCATTGGCATACAGAGATAGAATATCCACAACCTTGATACCAGTCACCAGAATTTCCTGTTCAACACTCAATTTCTATGAGCTCAGGAGCCTCAGCATGAATATGTATAAATTGTTTGGTTTTGATAGGTCCTTTCTCATCAGTGGGTTTGCCAATGATCATCATAATTCTGCACAAGGTCTCAGGAACAACAGGAATTTTGAGTGGTGCACCTGAATCCAGTACTTTCTGGCTTCTAACCAAACCTTCAGTACCGTTCATAGCAAGGATTCTTACAGTACTCTCACCTGAATGCTGGGCCACCTCCAAAACCAGTCTGGTCTCCCTGCCTTGTACCTCCAGGGCATGTAGGATGGGTGGTAATCCTTCATCAAACTAGACATCCAAAACTGAGCCAATGACCACCATAATGCTCCTGGTGGCAGCGCCTGCCTTCAGAGACAGAGAAGTATGTGCCCATAGTCTCTGGCCAAATCGACCTAGTGGGTGCTCCCAAAAGAATCTGCACTTGCGGAAGTGATGCCAAAGCATGGAGCCCCTGCAGGGCCCCAGAGGCTGAGGCATGGACCACTCACCCCACCTCTTTCCATGTTTTATCTCATTATCTCCACAATCACCCTCAATAGCATTGGACTTAATAGCACATTCCACTGCAGAAAAGTTCATCACATACTAGAGAATGGCTTAAGAAAAATTTCTGTATGTACTAGAGAATGGTCTCTCCCATCTTGTGCTAATTCAAGATATCATAATTACTTATTGAAATATCTAAATACAGATTAATAAAAATGTTATTGACAGCTTATGAATAACTCAGCAATGGGGATACTTCTTAACAGTTTGTTAATTCAGCACGTTCATTACAATAATAGGTCAGGCACTGAGTGGATGATCCCCAAAATGGCAACACAATTTGGAGTTTATATGCTGTACTTACAAAAGGAGGGTATGAAGCTGGGGGAGGTTAGGAATGTGAGTTGTATTTGGGTGGAGTTAGACAATTAGTGGAGGAGAGTATGATTAACATGCATTGTATTAAACTGTCAAAGAATTAATAAAAATACATTAATATGTCAATAGCAAGTGAAGTGTAGGGCCCTGGACCCTTCTCCATCCTTGCCTGATTTCTGATGTGCTCATCCTTGTTCAGAACCATTTTGCTACTGACAGATTCAGACAGGGGAAATGCTTGCCTTCAGCCATGTTTCCTCTCATGATTCCACCATGCTCCCATGGAGACTTTCAACCCAACAGTCACAAGGATGGCCTTGTTTAAATAAAATGAATCACAAAATAAAATCAAAATTTATGAGACTAGGTAGGGGTCGTGACACTTGTCTTTAATCCAAGCACTCAGGGGGCAGAAGCAGGCAGATATCTGTGAGTTTGAGGCCAGCCAGGACTACATAGTGAGCTCAAGGCCAGCCAGTGCTACATAGTAGGACCCTGTCTCAAAACAAATAAACAAGCAGACAAAGAAACAACAAAAAGATGAACCTGGTAAGGATTAGGGGAATGGGTTTGGATTGGAGATTAGAAAGGGTAGGGGGGAAGGGTAATTGCATACATTATACGAATGTATATAAGAAATTGTGAAATAACCATGTTGATAAATAAAAACATGTCCATAGAATATCTAAGAAATTGTGTTAAAACTTTGTACTGCAGTGTAACTCAAAAGGCACAACATGCGGTTTCATGCAGAACAATGAATTTTCTAGTATCTGAAGTGGTAGAATTTGGTGTTAGACCTTTAAGGTTGTATCTTTATGTGTGTGTGTGTGTGTGTGTGTGTGTGTGTGTGTGTGTGTTCATGTGTGTGTATGTGTGTGCACATACTGGGAGGTACACATGCCTGTGTGTACATGTAGAACCCAGAGGTTGGCATCTCACCTGTTGACCTCCTCTGTTGCCTTATACTTTATTTATAAACAGTGTCTCCCAGAACCCGGGGCTTGGCTCTCTGTTTCTATAAGACTGTCTAACTAATGAGCTCACAGGATTCTCTAGTTTCTGGGTAATGGCACAGAATTATATGATAACAAGAAAAACATTTATAGAGATAGAAAATGAAATCAACATTTAAAAGTGATTTGTTATAGTGACCAATACACCATGTGTAGTGTGTGGAACTTTAGGAAATGGTGTTGGCATTTATTCTTATTCATGTAATATATCCATGCTTGAATTTTTCAAAGGATGTAATTGTGTGCATACACACAGTGCATCAGGAGTACTGAGCCTATGAAGCTAAGTTAAAATATTTATCTTCCATTAAATTGAAATAACTGAGCTGGAGAGATGGCTCAGCAGGAGCACTGACTTCCCTTGCAGAAGACCCAAATTCAATTTCCAGCACCCACATGGTGGCTAACCATTCATAAATCCAGTTTCAAGGAATCCGATGGTGTCCTTTGACCTCCTCAAGCATTACACAACATGGGTGCACTTACAAACATGTAGGCAAGACATTCATAGACATAAAATAACAAAAAGTACTTTGAATTTAGTTAAGAAAATAGAGAGTTTCTCTTAAGACGGTGACCATATAATGTACAGTACATCCACAGAAAAATGTTCTTGTTCTTAAAACATTAACATCAGTGTCAGAAATTTAGGGAATCCAAACGACCAACAATACTCTTCACATAACACATTGGCAACCACTAACAGAACAAAAATGACCTTTTCACATTGAATTCTCCACATGGCATTAACTTCCTTAAAGCCCCCTTCATCTCCTCAGACAGTAGATAACAGGATTGAGTGGTGGGGGAAGAACTTTGTAAAACATAGAAAATATTAGGTCAAAAGGAGTTGGGGAGACTGGAATTGGCTTTAGATATGCACAAGTTCCCACGGAGAGATAAAATGAGACCACACAGGTGAGGCAGACAAGTGGAAAAGACCTGAGACCAACCTTCCGCAGAGGGCATCCTGAGAACTGCAGAGAATATCTGGACATAGCAGAGGGTGATGGTGATGAAGCAGAAAAATGCCACAGCAGCAATGAGGGCAACCAGCCCAATCACTCCAAGGTAATCACTGGAGCAGGAGAGCTTGAGCAACTGGGGACACCACAGAAGAACTGGTGGATTATTTTTTACCCTGAAGAATCTGATGAGAATGTGCTTGCTCCTCTAAGGCACACAGTTGTCACAGTCCATTTGCACTTTCTGGGTCCCATGTTACCTTCATAGTGCAGTGGGAGGCAGATGACCACATAGCCTTCATAGGATATCACTGTGAGAATGGCCACTTCATTCCAGGCCAAACCTATGAAGAAGAAAACCTGCAGCACACACTGACCATAGGAAACCTAGACACTGCCAGTCAGGAAACTGGGAATAGATGGGGACAGTGACAGGCAGGGAGGAATGGTTGAGAAGGGAAAGGTGCTTCAGGAAGTAATACATTGGAGATTGGAGCTGAGGATCCAGGGTTGTGATGGTGATGAGAATGAATTACCTCCCAGGGCCAACTTTAATCCTTTAGAATGATTTTATATTGATTATTTTTAGACCCCAATTACCACAATAGAAAGCAGGGAGAATCCAAAAATCTCATTTATGCTTCTCTATTTCCCTCTTTTCAAACTTTGCTTTTTAAAATTTATTTTTCTTAGAAGTTGATGATACACAGAATTACTGCTCTCAATACATTTTTACATTGGATCATTTGATATTAGTATTTTAACTAGCCAACTCAAATATATTTTTACCCATTGACTGACAGGTAAGAAAGCCAAATAACACTGAGCCCTAGTATGAGAACCTGGGATGCTCGCATGCATCCTAAACAGGTCTCACTGAGTCCTCGCAATTTCAGCACTTTGGAATTGAACATTCAAATTTCAGTTTTTACTGGAAACATTTAAGACCTTGTACACTTCACACACACACACACACACACAAATACATATATATATACATATATGTGTGTTTATGCACATAGTGTTTAAGAAAATAAACATGAAGGAAAGGCAACAGTTGCATTCTGACCCAGGGAAATTGTTATGTAGACCAGACTGGCCTAAATCTCACAGAGATCTGCCTGCCTCTGTTACTGGAGCACTGAGATTAAAGGCGTGCACCACCACTCCCAGCACTGGTTTTATTGAAAGGACCATTACATTATTATGAATTAAATTCATGGGATTTGTAGATCTGGCCACTTTTAAGAATGTGAGCTTCCTTCTTTATTAGAACTATAGTCTTGTTTTTCCAACTAAATAAGATTATAAGATTCCATTAGAGTGTCCATAAATACTTTCCTTTTCTCATCCAGTTAGAAAACTCACTGCAGGAGGCTTGTGAGGGCAGTTCTCACTCCGGTCAGCAACTTCTGATAGTTCTTACTCACAAGCTCGTGTTTTAAAAACATGTTATTTCCCTGAAGAACAAGTGTTTGAACTACTTTTTTTTCTTTTTGGTCTTTTTGAGACAGGGTCTCCCTGTAGCCCCAGCTGTCCTGGAACTCGCTATGTAGACCAGGCTGGCCTTGAACTCACAGAGATCTACCTGCCTCTGCCTCCCTAGTGCTGGGATTAAAGGCGTGTGCCAACATATCTGGCTGAAGTACTTTTTATCCAGAGTGGGGAATATCTTTGGAAATGGAAGACTGAACTTAGATAAAATTACTTCATTTTCTCAGACCCTGTGTCTACCGGGAAACCGAGTCTGAAGTTTCCACACAGATGTTGAGGTAGTTGTTGAGCTTGGGGTTTCCTTGTCCCCAGATCAGGGGTTCCCAGTCCTTAGAAGACCTCAGAATCACCTGGTGAGTGGTTAGAACTCAGGCACCTGAGCCCACACTCAGTGATAATTGGGACTCAGAGGTCGCAGGGGACAACCAAGGAGCCCTGTGTCTGCTTCCAGGGCTGCTGCTTCTGGTTTGAGAAGGTAGACAGCCCATAAGTAGCCTAATTGTGCAGTCTGAGAGGCAAATAAAAAATATAAATGTTTGTAAAAATACCTGAATCGCTATACAAACTTTAGAGAATTTATAAATCATAGTTTATCTTAAACTTTGGTTTTGAAATTGAGGGTACGTACGAAATCTCATGTTCTCATCAGCTACTTTGATTATTCATTATGACTAGTTAGGGTGACAAATATGTCTAAGCACTCCTAAGACACATCTAGTAACAGTGCCTAAAATTCTAATGAAGAAACCTTTATTATTAAAGTTTTATAGAAATTTAGTAATTGAAGGAATCGTAAGCACACAATATCATTTAATGAATTTTTAAATTCACTTATTGTTTTTGTTTTAAAGTCTTTTTGAGACAGGATCTCCCTGTAGCCCCAGCTGGTCTGGAACTTTCTCTGTAGACCAAGCTGGCCACAATCTCACAGAGATCCACCCCCCTCTACCTCCAGAGTGCAAGAGTCACCATGCCTGGCCTCTTATTATTTTTTATTTTATTTTTTTACTATTTTGCAAAAATAATCATGTGTTAACAAATTTGTACATTTATAATGTAATAGCACTCCAAATATTTCATGTTAACTATAGGATTATATGTGTTATATTTTAAAGGCCAAGCAAGATTTTGTTCAGATTATAAATCATACTTTGAAGGACATTTCACTTATTCATAATCATTTAAAAACATTTTATTAATACTTATTATTTTATTTGTATGAGCATATTGCCTACATGTATGTATGAGCTCCCATGTTGCGCAATGCCTGTGGAAGTGAAAAGAGGGTATCGGATTCCCCTGAAACTGGAGTTATAGATGATTTTTAGCCCCGATGTTGGTTTTGGAACCAAACCCAGGTCCTCTACAAGAGCAGCCAGTGCTCAATCACTGAGCCATCTCTCCAGCCTCTGGAATGTGCTTTAAAATTCTTTTATCCAAGGTGGTATCTATTGTTGATCATGAGGTATGTTTATTTGAGGCAGTAAAAGATGGATCCTGTTTTATAATTCCGTCTGTTAATCTGTGTGTTTTTATGTTGGAATTTAAGCCATTGATGGTAAGAATAATGATAGCAGAATAATGACCTTTAATTCCTCTCAATGTGTTGATTAGTGGTGTTTTCTTAGACCTCTGATTAAATATCCTGGAACGGTTTACTTTTTCCCTGTGTTCTCTTGGGTGTGTTTAACCTTCTCTTCAGACCTCAGTATTCCCTCCAATATCCTCTTGTAGAGCTGGCTTAGTGGTCATGAATTCCTTTAATCTTTTTTTTATCATAGAAGAATAATTCCTTCTTATGTGATTGTGACTGATAGATTTGTTTGGTATAGTTTTCTAAGCTGGCATCTGTGGTCTTTTGTAACTTATAGAGCATCAGTGCCACTTTGAAACAACAGTTTGAAACAACAGTTTGAAACAACAGTTCCCACTTTGAAAGTCTCCACTGAATTCTCAGTTTTTGTTCTGATATGGTTGCCTTTACATGTTACTTGGTCATTCTTTCTTGCAGTTTTCAATAACCTCACTTTGCTCTGTATATTTAGTGTTTTAAATATGGTATGGTGAAGGGAGTTTCTTTTCTGATCCCATTTGATGTTCTGTATGCCTCTTACATGTTGATAGGCCTCTCTTCCCCTGTATTGGGGATATTTTATTCTATCATTTTGTTAAAATATTCTCTGTGCCTTTGACCTTTTGACCTTTTCCTTCTTCTATACCTGTTATCCATAGTTTTCGTCTCTTATGGTATTCCAATCTTCCTTCACTTTCTGTTCCTCTTTTGTTTTGTTTTAACTTTTTTTTAACTTAGTGATTCATTTTTTTTCTGTATTTTGTCTTCAAGACCTGATAGTCTCTCTTCTATTTGGTCCAATCCATTGGTGAGTCTTTCCTATATTCTTTTCAGTCAACTTCCTGAATATTTCACTTCAAGGGCTATTTTTTTTTTGGGTTTTCTTGAGATTTTATATGTTTATTAATTTCCATTTTTTTTGGATTGTTTTCATCATTTCATTCAACTGTGTTTTGCTGTTTCCATTCTGGCGTTTATTTCTATCCTCATTGTCTTCCTTGAACACATTTATTATTTCTATTTTCACACTATTATTGTATATGTCAGCTAAGTTGTTTTTCTTGAGGAATTTACCATTGGGGTACTAATTTTAGGAGAACATATTTTTTTTCTGGTTGTTCAAGTGTTTTTTTAATTTTCTTTTCTTTTTTTGACATGACCTGGGCACCTGGAGTTACATAATTGGCAATGTTTCTTCTTAAAGATATCTGTTCTCCCCTCTGTTGATGCATGTTTGAATCCCTGTTTGTTGTTAGCCCAACTTGTCAGGTCATGGATCATCCAAATAATACTTGAGTTCAGTCTGAAGGCAACTCCACCTGTGTTAATATTTCAATGGAGTATCACAAATAATGCTGGCTCAGCTAGAACGAGGTATAACTTCTGACCCAAGATTAGGCCTGTGAAGTTAGAGATTTTCACAGCTAAAACATTCTAATCTGGATGAGAAGCAGAGGACTCATCATCAGGCAGCTGGGGTGGGTAGCAGAGTTGGTAGCAAGTATCTGGGTTCTTACCTAGAGAGGAGTAGCAAGTGGGTGAATGGCATCAGGACATTTGATCCTCATGTGTCTATTTTTGGGGGCGGGGTGAACACACATGTCCAAAGTGAGGAGCTCTGGCATCTCTCAGCCTGCCCAGAATCCTGTTATCACCATCAGGAAATAACCCAATTTACACACATAATAATGTTTGATTTAGGTTTTAGAAGGAAACTGAGTGTTCAGGACAGCAACACCTTAGGATTTGGGTAAATGAACACAGACATATTTTAATGGAGAAATATGGCAGACACTAAGGCATAGATGGTAATGTGTTCCTGCACAATCAAACTGAACACAGTTTCTTCATTTCCCCAGTGGTAAGAAAGGTGAGCTAGAATTATTTAAATGCAACACGAGGAGAAATGAATTTAAGGCATTTCATTTGTAACTCAGGCTTCTTTCTTGCTAGTCTTTGGCCATTAATGATGGCACCAAACCCTTGAATTATTAGGCTATAAAATAATTCTACGTTACTTGTCTTCTCTTTTTATTTGCATAAAAATTTGAGAATCTTTTTTTCATTTTTATCTTTCTTCCCAAATTAAAAAAAAAATGTTTATGTAGCCAGGCAAGGTGGCACATACCTTTGATCTCTGCACTCTGGATACAGAGGCTGAGTGAGGTCTGTGAGATCAATGCCAACCTAATCTGCACAATGATTTCTAGGCCAGCTGGGGTACAGGGAGGACTTGTCTCAAAGAAAAGGGTTTATCTAAGAACACTTTGTACCACAGGGTCTCTAGGAACAGCAGGTGGGGAGGGCAGAAATAAACAGACTTTTGGTCTTTGAATTTTTTCAATAACCCTCTAAGGAGGTCTAAGCCTCTGAGGCCAGTGGTTAGATGAAATTCTAGAGCCAGTGTCTGTCCTCTGCTATCGAGCCTGAGTGATCTGAAATTCCAGGGGTGTACATAAATTTCACAGCTGCATTAATGCAGGGATATGATCTTGAAAGTCAAAAGCCACATCCTCTGCCCACTCCAATATCAGGTCTGTGGCTGCTTCACAACTCCAAACCCACTTGGGAGACACACAGCTAGAGCATTACTGACCCAGCAGGGATGGTGTGGGAAGTCTAGGGAGAGAGAGAGAGACCTCGCCAAGGTCAGTGAGGCCAGCAGTGGACACTGGTACCCAAGGGCAAACAATGGCCATGTGATGACAACTCTGTGGACATCAGACATATGTCCAATACAGACTCAGCCACAGCATAAACTGCAATAAACAAGAATTCACAACTTCAACTGACCCTCCAATACTGACAGTCTCCAGTTTTCAAGCCTCAGAGAGCTATTCCAATCCTTTGTCTTTTGATGGCTTTTTTCCCCTCCTTGTCATCCTTTTTGTTTGTTTGTTTGTTTTAAAAAAGAAAAGAAAATACCCACTTAATGGGATTTTAACTTCATTCCTTTTTTGATTCTTCTTACTTTTGATATGTGCATACACATGTTCTTGTGTGTGCATTCAAGTGTGTTAGTGTGGGTGCACATGCATGTGTAGGCTAGAGGTCAACATCAGTATCTTCCTGTATGGCTTCCCACCATTTCTTGTTGATTTATATTGAATTTCATTTTAAAATTAATGTTTTTTAAATTAAATAAATTTAAATTTTTTTGAGGGTGGATCTCACAGTAACCCAACTTGGCCTGACACTTGCTATGTAGACCATCCCAGGCTGGCCTCATCCCCACCACAATCTACCTTCCTCTGCCTCCAGTGTGCTAGGATTAAAGGCATGTACCAATATAGCCAGCTATTATTTTATTTATATTTTATATCTGTAACGTTTGCCTGCATGTGTGTAATTGTAACACAAGTGCACAATACCTACATGTGCAAGAAGGTGATATCAGATCCTCTGGAACTGAAGTTATGGACAGTTGTTAGATGCCATATGGGTCCTGAAAGCTGAACCCTGGTCCACTACAAGAGCAGTAAGTGCTCTTAACTGCTGAGCAAACTGCCTGAGCTCTGCCTTTTTATTTATTTATTTATTTATTTATTTATTTATTATTTAGATTTTACTTATAACAAACCTGGAGTTTACCAATGGGAGATTCTGATAGCAACAAGCCCCAGGTATCGTTCCTCTCTGTCAACACAGTACCTGGATTACATGCTGAACCTGCAGTTCTGGGTTTTTCACATAGCTCTGGAATCTGTTCTGAAATCCTCATGCTAACAAGGCAGGCACCTTATGGATTTCGTGGTGAATCCATCCCCAGTTCATGGTAGTTTAAAGTGTATATGTATTTTGCTGTTTAAATAATTTTGTTTATATAGAGTCTTCCAATTTGAGTCAAGGCATTGCTTGTGTTTCTTTCCATAACCCCATGTGTATCCCTAGTATTTTGATTTTGCCTTAGTTTATAATCTTAGGTTTCATATTTTATTCCCCACACCTCTTTACATTTATCACATTTTGGTTTTGACGTTTGTCATTCTACTGGGAAACTGGATTTTTTTCTTTTTAAAGTCTTTTCTAACATTTTGCTCTTTCCTGTTCCCTTCTATGACATTTGTTTCTGTTTCCATTTTCTTCCTGTCTGTTTAACCTCACCTCTTCTCTTTTCCACTTTCCATGTCTTCTTTATCTCATTAGCTCTGCCATCACCTCAATAGTATTGGACTTCATAGCAGATTCCACTACAGAAAAAGTTCATCATGTACTAGAGTGTCCTATTCCTATTATGTGCCGATCCACAATGTAGTTATTACTGACTGGCATATTTAAATACAGATTAATAAATGGTTATTGACAGCTTATGAAAAACTCAACAATGGGGATGCTTCATATCAGTTCATTAATTCAGCATGTCCATTAAAATAATAGGGCAAGCACACCAGTGGATGATCACTCAAATGGCAGCACCAATTGGGTTTTTTATGCTACATTTTTAAAAAGGAAGACATGAAGATGGGTGAGGGAAGGAAGGTGAGTCGTATTTGGGAGGAGTTAGGGGATTAGTGAGTGTGAAGAAGATCAAAAGACTTTGTACAAAATTTCCAAAGAACTAATGAAAATATACTTCAAACAGCAATATGTCTATAGCTAGTGAGGGATAGGGACCTGAGCCCCTCCTCCATCCATGTCTGACTTTAGAAGAGATCATTCATATGCAGATCCAACATGCTACTGACAGATTCAGAGAAAAGAAATCCTTGCTTTCTTCTGTGTTTCCTCTGATGACTTCACCATGGTCCCATGGATACTTTCAATGCAATGGTCACAGAGATGGCCTTTAAGGGAAAGGGGGTCACAAAAAAAATCAAATACATATACCTAGACAAGCAAGGTGGCACTAACCTTTAAACCCAGCACTTAGCAAACAGATGCAGGCAAATCTTTGTGAGTTGGAGGCCAATCTCTTCCACATAGTAGGTTCCAGGCCAGGCAATGCTACATAGTGAGACCCTGTCTCCAAAATAACCCATAAAAAAACAACAACAACAACAAAAAGTCATGAACTTCAGAAAGAAATTGGTAGTGATGAGGGGGGAAATTCATAAGTGTGGGAGGGAGATGTGAGAGAGTGAGGGAGGAGTGCAGTCAGAATACATTGTATATATGTATGAATCTGTGAAATAATATTATATATAACCAGTATTACGTGACTCCTAAGCACAGTATGATGTCTTATACAAGATAAGGGTTTCTAGTAACTGAAGTAGTAGAATGTGATGATAAACCAATTTATGTATGTGTGTGTGTGCATGTGTGTAGTATTGTATATTCATGTGTGTGCACATATGTGGAGGAGCACATAACTATGTGTTCAGAGCCCAGAAACTGACATCTCTTCTGTTAACTCCCTTTATTGCTTTATAATTTATAAACAGAGTCTCACAGAACGGGGGACTTGGCTCACTGTTTCTATAAGACTGTTTGACAAGTGAGCTCATAGGATCCTCTTGGTTCCTGAGTTCAACCCATGACACTAGGATTATTTCTGCTGAAAAAAACATTGGCTTTTTATTTTTTCAATTGGGTGCAGGGAATGTCAACTTGGGCCTCTGAGATTGAGAAGGAAACACTTTATACACAGAGCAATCTTCCCAGCTCTAAGATTATATTTGGTAACCTAGACTGGTTGATTTGTAGCCACATGTAGGAAAAAAAATTGAAAAGAAGTGTGGATGAGAAAATTGTTTTACCATTATAGAAGGTGAAATTATAGTAGTTATTTACCTTTCCTATAAAATAAAATGCAAAGATATGTAGCTCTAAATGAAACATGAAAAATAAAAAAGTAAAAAGAATCTTGTTACAGTTTTTGTACATTTGAAAGCAATAGGAAGGTGAAACGGCATTACTGTGGGAAGTCGTCCTGATTCTCAGCCCTGTGCTCACTTATCCATTCCAGGGACCTTGTATCACAGATGTCCTCTAAGAGTATTTGGCACACGAAATAATAAAATCATGTGCGATGTAATCAAGAGATGGATCAGGCCTCACTCACTGGCACATCTAATAACTTGGCATTATGGGAATCCACCCTACCCTAACAGACCAGACAGCTGAATATTTTATACAAGTTAGTTCATCAAAACAATTATGTGGAATTATGAAAAAAAGATATTCAGTTTTCATCCTGATGTGCAAGCATTTATTATAAAAGATAAATAAGACAAAAAGTAAGGGGTCAAAAATGTATTTTAGTAAGTATTACATTACATAAGTTGCATGGAAGATAATTCTTATGATTAAACTATGAACATGTACATAGTAATGACACAGAATTACATGATACAGGGAAGAAAGCATTTAGGTAGAGATACACAATTTTAAATCAACATTTGAAAGTTTTTGATTAAAGTGACCAATGTGTTGTATGGAACCGTAGGAGATGGTGTCAGTATTCATTTTTATTCATGTAATATTCCCACCCTTGAATTTTTAAAGCATGTAGCATCATTGATGCACGTGACTGTGTGCATACACAGAGAGTGTGTTAAGAGGTACTGGACTTAAAACGCTGGGTTATAATGTTAACTGCCATTATAAGTTGAAAGAACAAAAATTCTTTCAATGATTAGATTACAAAGAGACAAAGAGTTTCTCTAATGATTGACAACATATACATTTTCTATAAAAAGTTCTTCCTCTTAAAACATGAACATCAGGGTTACAAAGTGAAGGAATTCAAATCACCAAAAACATTTCTTGGGTATAATATGGATACCACTAACAGAATAAAAATTATTTTTTCCTTGTGACTTCTCCACCCAACAGTAACTTCCTTACAGCTTCCCTCATGGCCTCATTCCTCAGACTGTACATAACAGGATTGAGGGTTGGGGGAAGAACTGTGTAAAATATAGAGAGGATGAGGTCAAAAGTATTTGGGGAATGTGAGGTTGGCTTTAGATATGCAAAGGATCCCGTGGAGAGAAAGAAAGATACAACTAAGAGGTGGGGCAGGCAGGTGGAGAAGACCTTAGACCGACCTTCAGCAGAGGGCATCCTGAGCACTGTGGAGACTATCTGGACATAGGAGAGGGCGATGGCAGTGAAGCAGGCAAATGCCATGGCAACAACGAAAGCAGTCACTCCAGTCACTCCAAGGTAATCATTGGAGCAGGAGAGTTTGAGAAATTGTGGGACATCACAAAAGAACTGGTGGATTATTTTTGCTCCACAGAATCTGATTGAGAATGTAGTTGCTGAATACAAGGCTCCTGAGATCCCTCCACTTATGCACACAGCTGTCACTGCCCACCTGCATGTTCTAGTATTCATTGTGACCTCATAATGCAGTGGGAGGTAGATGGCCACATATAGTTCATAAGACATCACAGTGAGAATGGCCACCTCAGGCCAGGCCAAGGATATGAACTACAAAACCTGCTGCACACACTGAGCGTAGGATATGTAGCCACTGCCAGTAAGAGAATTGTGAATAGACTGGGGGACAGTGACAGACATGGAGAAGAGGTCAAGAAGGGAAAGGTGCGTCTGGAAGAAATACATTGGAGATTGGAGCTGCGGGTCCAGAGTTATCATGACAGATAGAGTTACCTGCCAAGCCCAATAGGTACATCACCAAGAAGAGCAAAGCATGTAGGATCTGCAACTCCTGGTTATCAGAGAACCCCAGGAGGAAGAAGCCACTCACTGTGGATATATTTGTGACCCTCATTCTGAGATCAAAAATTGTGAGAGTAGCCTGGCAAGGAGGAAATGCGGTAGGAAATGGTGTAAGAATTGCGCCTCTATTCAGCATTACTTATTTCCACACAAAATGTTTAAATGTTCGCTATGCAGAAGTTCTGACCTCAGTGGTGAAATCCATAGACTCAAACACATATTTCTTATACACATAAAGTTTACACTTAATTATAGGAAATGAATAGTTGTAGATGAATATCAAAGAGACCTTGTTATTGAGACCGTCATGCACAGAAGACAACAAAACATCACCCTGCTCTTTTGCTCTATAAGGGTCACTATTCTCTTTCCACAGAAATGCCCATTTCTCTGGTTTAAAGTCAGTAGTTGAAATGCATTGATAGCTTTTCAGCAAAGGAAGCTGAGCTTTGGGATACATTTATGTCATGCATTGCATGTTAGTAGCACACAGATGACCCATAGAGATAAGATGACTTTGGATCCTGAGGCATTATTACTGGTGCTAGATGCTGCTGATTCCTTCACAGCAAATTTTATTATGAAATTGCAGGACAGAAAATGTCTTGACAATTATCTTCCAAATAGTTATATGAAATGTACCTGTGCTGGAAATCAAGAGAAAAATGTGGTAGCTGAGAACAACTTGGCTGTGACTCTCACGCGATGCTTCTCATTTGTTTGTCCGCAGTATCATCAACTGTTTGGAACTTGTGTGAGTCTTCACTGCACAAAGCTGCTCTTCTGATCATTTGCCTCCAGTTATATCTTGGATAAGTACCTAATCATGAAATGAAAAAAAAAAGAAAATAGACCATGGCAAATAATGAAAAAGTAGTTTTACATTAGGAAGGATAACATTGAAACCCCCAATGTATAATTTCAGACAGGTAGGAGCTGTAGTGATCTACCTTTGTGACAAGAAAGATGACAGGCATATCCACAGCCAATTGTTTGATTTTGGTAGGGCGGGGTTAATGAAACATTCTGTTCTGTGTACATAACCTTGGCATTGGAGGGCTGAGGAATGTCCACCTCATCTTTGACATGTTGGCAACTGTAATATGTGATATAACTTCTTTGGGCCTTTTCTCTAGAGCTTTCCAAATCCCATTGTATGTTTTCCTGTGCTTTGGTGATCCATCCACTTAACACTGATATCTGAGAGAATCCTCAGTCTCACTTTGTCCCCAAAATTGTTCATTTGAGACAGGCCAATCACACAGTTTCTTCCAGAGAAGGTACAGCCTTTGTCACATCTTCATTTTGAAAACAGTGAACTGGACACCTGAGCCTTCCCTGTCTATCTCGTCTTTCCTGGCAGAGTCCATTCCACTTGATTAAAATACATTTGGCTATTAGTGCCAGGCAAAGTGGCAGAAACCTGTTGTTTCAGGTCTCTACTATGCCAAGAGTCAATATCATCTTGAGATCATGGTGGAATGCTGAGAGTGAGGCAGGGTGAGGTGCAATTAACTAAATATTGGAATTTCATTCTAGCAGTCTAACAAAACAAACCTCTTGATCCTCATAGAGTATTACATTACACATTAGCAATTCAAGAATTCTCTCAAAGTTATTGATTTCCTCAAAATCTCAAACCACAAAATGGAAACAGGGCTAAGTTGACTTTAGAATTATGTTCCTAATGTTTTCTTCTTAATTTCTATTCTTTCTTCCTCCTTTTCCTTTGACATTACTGTTCATACTTATTTTTTCTGTCTGTTCAATAATTTAATCTGGAATATTTACTTACACAGTTATAAAGGAAACCAAGAAAGTGAGTAATATTTCACATTCAATTTTATGAGACAAACACCATGCTATAGAGTCCATTCTCAAATACGTCTTCAGCCACAGGCAGTTTTCACAACTTCTTGCTAGGCATATGTCTCAATTTTTATAGGAAAGATAAAACTTCAGAATGCTGAAGCAAGAGCCTGGAATTTATAAATGTGAATGAAATGGTTGTTGAAAACATGGGCACATCATTGAGCATTTGAATATGTATTTCACAGAGGCTTTTCATACCTGAATATGTAAGACATTCCCTTTTTCCCAATATGCTTGTTTTCCTAGAATGGTCCCTCCCTCTGGTGATTTGCACATATGCATTAAATATTTGATGTTATTTATTCAGACATTTTCTTTAAATTCAACTTCCTTTCACCCTTGACTTAAGTCTTGGATTTGCAAATTAAGTTTGAAGACAATAAAGTGCTACCTGAATTTCCATGAAGTTCCCATTCCCCATCCAAATGTGGAAAACTCACCCCAGGATTTCTTGGTGTCTGGGCAGTTCTCCAAGCAGCTGGGCAACCTCTGACAGAATTATGTCCACACTCACTGATTTAAAAACTGTATTATTTCCCTTGGGCACAAATTGGCCTCAGTTGTTTTTTATGAGAAATCATAGTGTTAGAAACATTTGCATGGAAGTCTGAACCTAGTGATGCAACACCTAATTGTCTCACTCTTTGTCATCTGTGACTTAGAGCTATTAAAATTTGACTCTTTGATGTGAGGCCTGGTGAGACTGGGGTTTAGTTTTCTCTTCCTTACCTGTTCTCAACTTAGCAGATCTGTCAAACACATGGAGAGATACTCACCACTTGGTGTCATGAGCCACAGTCTGTAATTCGGACTCAGAGTTCTCAGGAGACATCAGGTGCTTGCCCACCAGGCGCCCAGCCCTTGCTGCTTCTGCTCTTCTGAGTCTCACGGGTGGAGAACGACTGTGTAGCTAAACCTAGCATTTCTGAGAAACCAGTAGGCAATTTAAAAGAGTTACAAGAACAGTGAATTCGCTAATGTCTGACCTTGTGAGAAACAATAAATTAATATATTCTTTTACTTGATCCTTGAAGTTGAGATCAATAAATGAAATTTAATTTTGGTTATATATACTTAGGATAGTTAAAATGTAGACTAAGAGATTGTAGAATATGTCTAGCAATAGTGCTGCACAAGGTGACCCAGTCTGTTCTTGTATGACTTATCCAAAGAGTATTTGAAGAGATCAGAAGAGGGTGTTGGATCCCCTGGAACTAGAGCTATACAAAGTTAGCTGCCGTGTGGGTGCTGGGAACCAAACCTAGGTGCTCTGCAAGAGCAGTCAGTGCTTTAACCACTGAGCAATCTCTCCAGTCTTGGAATTCAATTTTTTTTCAGTTCATAAAATATTTCTAATTGAGATACGTGAAGTCATGAAAATAATCCATAAGTGGAATATAGCAGGAATGGACTCAAGATCATAGATGTAGAGAGTACTTTGAAAGAGTGGTTATTTATTTCAAGAGGAAAAAGAAATCAGCTTATGGAATGTTCACTTCATACTGAGGTGTCTTGCAAGTTCTCATTTCATAAGCTTTCTGTATAATTTTCATTTGATCCAGGCACGAGATTATTGCTGTAGGGTTCTTAAAGTCATCTTAGGTATTGAGATCAAGTAATTTGAACACAGAAGGATATGTTTATTTTTTTTCAATGATAGCTAAATTTTGATGTTTTTTATATTTTTTATTTATTATTTTTATTTTATGTGTATGCGTATATTGCCTGTGTGTAGGTAAGTGCACCCATATTGTGCGATGCCCACTGAGGAGAGAAGAGGCTGTTGGATCCCCTGGAACTAGAATTACCAACAGTTGTTAGCTGCCATGTGGGTGCTGGGATTTGAACCCGGGTCTTCTGCAAGAACAGCCAGTGTTCTTAACCACAGAGCCATCTCTCCAGTTATTTTTATAAAAAGCCCATTTGAGAACATAGATCAAATACATGTGACCTTGGTTTCTTCAATGAATAAAGAAGTTTTATATTGTCTTAAATACAGGAGGCGGGGCTATGGAGATAGCTCATCAAAAAATGGCACTTACCAATAGGGCTGATGAACCCAGTTCAGTCCCTCAAACCAAATGCTAGGACCTGAGTTCAATTCCTTGGACTCTATGCTATGTTCTTTAATTTTCTTCTGAAATACTTCTATCCTACCCAGAAAAAATGAGAGAAATTAGTCTAAAAAATCACTCACTGGAATCCTAAAGCTAACATTTTCAAAGCTTAACAGAAATACCCATTTGCACAGTAAATGTTCATGAATATAAGTTTAAAGTTTTCCTATTTTCATATAATTAAATGTGTATCTCTTGGCATTTTAGACTCTCTGAAGAAATTTCCTCAGCTGAAGATAATTGTATTAAACTTTTATACTGCATTATTTTTGGTTTTATTTTGTGAAATGTATAGTCATTATTATATCTCATATTTGAAAATTCACCCATCCTAAAACACAATGGGAAGATTCCACTCTCAGCACAGCCTCTGAAATGAACCACATGCACAAGCTCAAATAAGGTGAATTTTTCAACAAAAAGTATCCTAGAAAAAGTACTGAACACATGTGTCATGATCTAATTTTTTTCTTATCTACCATTTGCTCTAAGCCTGAGTAAAAGACTTGTAAATAGTGCAAATATTATTTTGACCATCACTGTTAAAATAACTACAGAGAAAAGTATAAAATGTTTTTTGCGAGTTTTACTTAGTGATTAACTTACAAATTATTAATAAAAAGAATGAAGACTGATTTTACAAGATCATTAAAAAGTGTTTCTCCTTAATCAAGGAGCAAGCAGGATAGACCTGTAAAAATAATTTCTAATTCAAGTGGCAACAAAGAGTTTAAAAATCAATAATACACTAAGCCAGCCCCAAGTAAAGAAACACTGTTTTTTTCTGCAGAAGAGGGCATTAGTAAGGAAGGATTCCACCCAGTTGCCTGAGTCTTACAAAGAGGGAACACTGGCAGGGTAGTGGATAATTGTATTTCACTTGTAAGAACAGTGTTCAAGGACATGCCTGAGGTAAGACCAAGGATGTTTTTGATGAAGAAAGTGCAGGTGAGTTTTTAAATGTTATTAAGAGTAGTGCACAGAATGAATTCATTCATTTCCTGAATCTCACAATTTGACTTCTGAGAACTTGGAAATTTATACCAAATGATGGATTTCTTAATGAATCTATCAGATGTTTGGTGGTCACGAAGTTAATAGAGTACAGTGTTTATTGAGGAGCTAGCTAGATCTTTCTAATGACTAGAAACTTGTTATAAAGATAAAATATTAATCTAAGTAATAGATGTAATTTCAATTCTTAATAGGGAAATAATATTGATAATTATTAATAGGGACATAACACACTATTTATGATTAGTAATCTTAAAAACATTTTTCTGTCTCACATAGTGTTTAAGGGGAGGGGGGTTCATTGTTCACCACTGAGGGAAGCCAGGGCAACAACTGAAGCACAGATACAGAAGGAACAATGCTGACCTACTTGTTTCTCTGGCCTGTGCTCAGCCTACTTTCTTTTGTATTTTTTAACTTTAAAATCATTTATTGAGAATTTAAGACATGCATATAAGGTGTTTTGATCAAATCCATGCCACCCCCTCCCCTCCAACTCCTCCCATATCTCCCCATCACTTTTTTCTGACATCTTCATGTATTTTCCTTCTTTCTCTTTCTTTCTCTTTCTCTTTCTTTCTACTTCCTTCCTTCCTTTTTCTTTCTTTCTTTCTTTCTTTACTTTTATTTATTAATTTATTTATTTATGGGGCTTTTTGCTACTCTAACATTCCCCCCTCTGAAGAGGTCCCTGTTCAGCATGGAAGAAGCCAGAGCCGTCTGTGTCCCGATTCCATATTGGCAATTTGGGTAATCTCTTCAGAGGATAGTGTGATAGGAATAGGAGGTAGGAAGGGCTAGAGAGATGGATCAGCAGTTAAGAACACTGACTGTTCTTGCAGAAGACCCGGGTACGAGTCCCAGCACCTACATGGCAGCTAACAACTGTCCACAACTCCAGTTCCAGGGGATCCAACAGTCTCTTCTGTCCTCCACAGGCATAGCACGACACAGGTACACTTACTTACCTGCAGGCAATACACACAAAGCACATAAAATAAAACAGTAAGTAATATAATTTTTTAAAAAAATGAGTAGGAGGTAGGAAGTGGCTAGGCAGTTAGGGTAAAAAGATCCCAAAGAAAAATAACCAGGTTCTTGTATAAAGGTCAAAATGTCCTTGGGCCTCTTAGCAACATATTCTGTTCTAAAGGCCAAACATGTCAAAAGTATTTGCGAGCTTTTATCTCACATAGTATTTTTATGTAAATAATCTTCAAAGTTGTTTTGCAATGAAATATATGGATTTCTCCACAGATTGAGGCTTGCAAGTGATTATCTTTGGATAACAAAATAAACTGATATGAGTGTGAATAAATCCAGCTACAGGTACATGGATATTTAAACCTAAATTTCTCAGTACTGTTTTCTATTGCTTAGTGAAATGAACGGCCTCTCTAATGTTCTCTTCATACTCAACATGACACACTCTAAAGTCCTTTAAAAATTATGTACCTCTATTACCTAAAAGAGTGTCTATCGTCATTTTTATGCTTTCTGTTGAATAATGTGGCATAGGAATGATGATTTTCTGAACATAAAATAATGTATTTTATAAGGTGTCCTGTAGGTTTTGGTAAGGGATTCAAAAAATCAAGTGTTTAACATTGTTGGTGTATGCACATTGACTATTTTTATTTCTATAAATTCATTTTCTTTGATAACCCATGTTTACTTTATTTACTTAGGTGCCATAGGATAATAAAAGATATATTTCAAATAAAGAGTCTATACAAAGCTTTCTATTCCAATGTCATGATAATCAATATATTCTTTATTTTCAAGCGCAATTTTCTATTAAAATAAGACATTTATGTTCATCCTTAGAAAGAAAAGAATTTTATGAAACACTTGTCACTGACAATTTTGACAGAATATGCCAGAGAAAGTTCCAGCGAGAGCAGCCAGTGATGCTCTCAATTTAAATGAAGCTGTGGAAGAACAGCAAGAAGAAGATACAATGAATGGACGACAAAAAGCTATCAAGTATACTATGAAATGTGCGCAGCACAGACTGTTTGGATAAAACCAAATGCTTGTATTTTCTACCAAGGAAATCACCTATCAAACATTTCCAAGGGATCCGATTCAAGTCCTCTGACCTCCACCAGCATTGTAGAACACAGAGTACTTACATGCCTGCAGGCAATACACTCATACACATAAAATAAAAATAATAAAATATTTTTAAAAATAAAAATAGTAGCATAAGAAACCTCAGTTCCCCCAAGATTTCAATCCTCATGACAAGACCTGAGATTATGACAGTCTCAGCATCCAAGTTGTTGGCTCTTGTCTATGACTGCCCCCAGCAGCCAGGCCTCCCATTGAAAGTGTCTCCAATTATCTCTGGGCTTCAGGCAGGTTCCTGAACAAATTAGTTCATATTCTTTTCCAGTCTTAGAGCAATTGGCTTAGGAATGTCTGGGGACACTGCTCAGTAGAGACACTATTTAACAACTTCCTACCTTCTAGGTGTGCCAAGGGGTCTGTATCCTCTCCAGCCCACTTAAAGAAAACCAAGTTGCAGTTCCTAAATGATCACCTTGCTTCCCTGTAACATCAATTACCATGACCTTGCTTGGCTGAGGAGCTGGGTGTTTCTCATGCTCTCCAGCCTCAGAGCTCTGATGCATCTCACAGGAACAAATACTCTTCTCAGTGCCTTCCCTGGATCTCAAGACCTGGTTTGTCAGGAATGAAGATACTCTAAAGAGATATTTGTACACTTCCCTTTGGCTTTCAGACTATTGAGATCATGGCCCCAAGACATTAGAAAATGAGAGAGAAAAAAGGTGAACCCTGGTGCCAGTCACTTGTCCCTGGTACAGAGGTTACACACATCTGACAACTTGTCAGAACACCTTGGAGAACAAACTAGAGCAAAAGCAATGATGGCGCACACCTTGACCTTGGTGGCCTAGCTATGCAGATCTTTTGTCCTTTATTTCAACCTAAGCTTCATGAGGACCCAGGAGACAGATGGGGTAGGAGAACAGACCTCTTTGCTGTTCTTCCCAGTTGGCCACTTTCAACCAATCTCTTCTCTGCTTTTCGCTGTTTCTTTCCTTAACTGGCCTATTGATTCTGGGTGGCCAAGCCTAGCTTGTTACAGTCAGAGCCTGGGCCCTAGCCATCTTCTCTGGTCATATCTTGGTAAAATTTGGTATTTCCAGAAGGAAGCCAGGTCAGTGATTCAAACTCCAACCCAATTAAATCAGTTGACCTTGAAAGAGGAAGTGCCCATGGGCTTCTATGCACAAAAAAAAATTGAGTTTTGTCCTTAAGCTTGCAAACCAACAAATAAATGCCAATAAGTAATCTGAGTTCTCTGTTGGTTAATTTTCTCTTTGTGATAAATTTCCTAACAATAATTTAAGGCTTACATTTTAGCTTATAATTGAAGGTGCAGTCTATCTTGGTGGGGAAGGCATGGTGGCAGGATCCTGAAACAGCTGTTCACATCCCAGTGTCTGGAATTAGTGATTAATGCTCTTGTTCAGTGAGCTATAGCCTTTGTATGTAGTTCAGAACACAAGCCCAGGGAATGGAGCTCCCCACATTTGGGGTGGTTCTACCCATCACAACCTCAGCTAGATAATCATTCAGACATTGCAGAGACTTGTCTCCAAGGAGATTCTAGAGTCTGTCAGTATACGCCAAATGGCTATTTTAGCAGCCAAGGCTAATACCAGAGCTGAAAAGTATATTTCAACCTAAATTAAGTGCAAGCCAAGAGCAAGTGCTATTGTATTAGGTATTTGATCACAGTGGTGAGAAAATTAAACTAGGAAGAATGAAGGAAGAAGCAAGCAGACTACATTCCCTACAAGAAAGATAAGAATGTGGACAGCTTGACATGACAAAACTCCTGGTCTGTTCTGGTCAAGGAGGACATGAAGCTGGAGGGCAAGCAGACCTGCACTTATGTTTGAGTAATGTGGAGTGTTTGTGGCCTACAAGACCACCACTGGAGGAGATTTGAGCCATGCTGGGGATGGGTGCAGCCTCATCCCTGAGCTGTGTGTGGCCCCTGCTGGCCTCTGAGGAGATGGCAACCTT